CTCTCTCTCTACTTGGAGGTTCATGGGGAGTTAGAAGTGGGGTTTTTGAGTAGGGCAACCATAGTCATAACCCAAATTAGGGGACTTAGAACCCCAGTATATAACTACCCATGAACCTCCAAGTAGGGTCTTCCCGGTTCCCGACTCCGAGGGGCTCCGGGACCCCGGCTGCGTGGCGAAGAGGAGCTGCAGGAAGAAGAGGAGGCAGAGAGGCGAGAGGAGCCCGAAGAAGGCCCGCTCCTCTCAGCGAGGTGCAGAGCAACAGCCCATGTCCGATTTGGGGTGTACTAGGAAAAAGTGAGGGTCACTGCTCTTAAGTCCAAATCCAAATCGCGCCAGAGAGTCTTGTGACTTATGATGCCTCAAAGTGTGGCTGGGAAAGGGGCCCCAAAACGTTCGGGACACTCTAGAACATGGCTCAGAGCGTCCCGCATGGAGCGGCGGATGAAGCCACTCCGGAAGATGAAAGAAGCTACCCGAAGTCTTGGGAAAGACGTAGCTTTCCCAAACGATCCCCTGGGGAAAGCATGAAACCATTGGGGCCGCAGCATCATCGCAGCTCCCGTCTGCAGCGATGCCGAGCATCGCCTCCGCTGCTTTCTTTCTTAGCTTTGGGGCATCACAGTTTTCATGATATAAATCCTGCAGTACCTGAAGCACCCTAATCTATTGGAATTATGGTTTTTTATATTCCTTATATTGGGTAATGACAGATGTATATCGTCAACCTTTATGTAGGGAGCTTATTAAGAAACCTTGGGTCCTTATTCGGTTGTTCATTTTTTTACATGTTTTTGGTGGTTCTAGGGCCAGGGTTCGTAATCCCTACATGAAACATGAAAGCGACAGCGCTTCTAATGCCTGTCATCCGGCTGATGATATAAATCCTGCATTACCCACAATAAGGAAGATACCATAATTCCCATAGTTTAGGGTCCTTAAGGTAATGCAGGGTTTATATCATCAACAGTTGTACTGGCAGTAGTAAGAACAGCTAGAACAGTCACCATGGAAACAATAGGAAAAAGAAACAAGGACACGTGCACCAATAACAGCAGAAGAAGCACAAATACTGCACAACAAAAAACAAACAGTTGCTAGTTAACCAGTCAGTATTGTGGAGCTCGAGGCGTAGATCCAATCGGTGCGAACCGCCAAGATCCGCCAAAGCCTTCCAAGGATTAGAATCGTAACGACATGTGCTTAGCAATAATTCCATGATCAATGATGATGAAATACTTTATGTTAGTATTAACAATACTGACGATGAGAATGCAAATAACAAATATTTTCAATGCAAACAAGAAGAAGAGTGAGAAGAATAGTAATTATGATACTAGTAATGATAGCAGCAACAGCAATAGTAACTATAATCATGACAACTAAGATCATAAAATATAGCACTAAAAGTGAAATCATCAGCAGTCAAAATCATGTCAACATTCATCGAGACAATAACAACCAGAGCAATCATCATAATCGGCTGAAAGAACCCGTAAAGGAACCCTTAAAGGGACCC